GGCTGAAAGCCCTATGAAGCGGTATATAAGTCTAACTGCTATTGCTATTGCTATTTTTTGATCTGGTTTTCTTGTTGGATGAGTGGCAACATGATCTGGAGTTGGTGAAATTGTCATGACTCCCCTGCCATAGTCAGATGACTTTCTCATCTCCTGAAAATGCTTTGGTGCCACTCTTGACTATGGAGAGGCTGAACCTACTCGACTGGTTCTCCTCAAGGGCTTAATGAAGCCAGTGGTGTTCCGGGGGGGGGGGGGAAGGAATTATTTAAGAGTTAGGGTTTGTAGAAACCATCTGAGACTTGGGTTTTCACTTGGGATAAGAGGGCAGCTTGGGCTTTGGACTTGATTATGCCTATGTTACCTTCCTCCCCCTATGTCATGCAGCCTGAAGTTATCCTTGGTTTACAGAGGAGCTGGGAAAGATGAAATGTAAGATGACTACAGGATTGGCTCACGGATGAGCAGTGAATCTGATTTTCTATGGACTGGAGCCACTGTTGCAACAATAAGGGTCGCAAAACTTAAGTACACTCCCATCCTTGTTGCATCTCCATACAATTGCCCAGCAATCATGGTGAGTCCTCCAAACTCCCTTGGAATGGAAAACCAGTCCCAAGCTTTTAAAAGCATGGGTTTGTTCTGTTGGGTTCCACTCTTATGTTCCACCTTTGTGTCTTAATCTTTTTGGCAAAGGCTATGATTTCAAATTTTCAAAAGAACCTCCCTGTTATGTATTTAATATTGGACTACAGCATTCATTGCATTTCTAAGCCATGTAGAAGAATAGGCAACAAGAACTGTATCATCTGGATGCAATGTTGGGATCTAGTGATAGTTTGAGCTGTTCAATGATTCAACCATGGAATTAATAAATTAAACAGGGCAAGGACCAGAGGCATTCCTTCTGCACATCTCTCTGATGTGTATCCTTAGAAAACAGCCTTGATAGTTACATATTATTCTCAAAAAGAAATGGATGTCAAAGTTCTGGATTAAATAAAGATGCTGCCTTATCCATCATACTATTTCTGAGCTATTCCCACAAAATCCTTCCAGCTATAGAAGACAAATTTAAAGTCCTGAAATACCATGTGAAATGGGAATTTTAAATTGTACACAGACTTCCGAACAAGATAGTGCACCACCAGAATATGGTCTACACTTACTGATTATCCATTCTTATGCACAAACAGTCACCTTATCTCACGAAGGTACTGTGGGAAAAAGATAAGAGGGAACACTACCTATGTTACCTTAAACTCCTAAATGAAAAGCTCTGACAGTTAGATACATCCAACTATCTGATGTCAACTTTGAAGCTGACTTGACCGGAGCTATTTTGAAGCTTCAGTGTTGCCACACTGGAGCTGAGGGATGGGGGGGGGGGAATAAAGATAGCTGCAGTTTCGTAGCCAAAGCAAAATACTTTCTCCTGGGAACCAAGGACATTCTCACAGGTGGTCAGAGAGAGAGAGGAAAACTGAAGTTACCAGGCAACCGGATGACACTTTGATTGGACTATGTGACTGATTGTTTGGGAAAGGAGAAAAAAACGTTTAGTTTTAATTAGATGAAACAGATGAGAACCTTCAGTCGGTTTCCCCCAAAACTGTGCCAATATGATATATCAAATAAAACTATTCTTTGAGGAATGTACCTGCCTCAGAGTTTTGTTTGCTATGGTTTTGTTACCTGGAATCCTGACATCTGATTTATATAGCATTCATGTGGTATATATTAATCTTCTATAGTTTAACTTTCATGTTTGAGAGTATGATAAGATAAAGACAGATGGGGGGAGGAGAAATTGGGATTGTTTATGTATACAATAAAAAATGTTAACAAAATAATCTACCTTTCTTTGGGAAGACCCTTCTCTAATGACAATCCAGAGTTTGGAAGTAATTCCAGCACTATTTCTAAACTATTCAGCTTAAAATGTTCATAAGGCCTCAATAGTAGGTCCCTGCAACCAGCTGCCTGCATCTATTTAATAGGAACTCTGGCTGAGTTACCCAAAGTATAAATGTTCTACAGAAGATTTAGATGTATATTTTTAATTCCAGTAGGTAGGGATTGTTACAATTTGGGTTTTTACATCCCTGGGGAAATTGACTTGTGGCATTACAGGTTTGTGAACAGAATGGCAATGAGTGCAAGTAATTAAAAATGGCTGCACCAAGAATACTGCTTCAGTGAACTGCTCCAAATAAACTGAATGTTTCGGGGAGATACATTTTTACAGTACATACTGGCTACAACTGGATGTTGCTCATGCTCTTTCTTAAAGCAAGAATATTTTTCAAAATTTGTGAACATTTGGTAAATTCAGAGCAGTATTAATAGTTTCCCAATACTAGTTAAGCAGAAACAATTGAGCTACAAACTTTATTTTAAAATTCAGTATCAAAAATGATCAGCACAAGAATCTTATATGCTGAAGGGGTAAGACAGGCTGCTGTCGCTAAATGCCAGGTCTGTTATTCATAAGGCTCCCCTCGTCCGGGACTTGATTGTAGACGAGGGGGCAGACCTGGCATGTATT